ATGACATCTCTGGATCTGCTGGCAATGCTCCTCTTAATGCAGCCTAATATGCCATTAGCCTTCTTGGCTACAAGGACACACTGCTGACTCATATCCAGCTTCTCATCCACTGTAACTCCCAGGTCCTTTACTGCAGAACTGCTGCTTAGCCAGTCGGTCCCCAGCTTATAACAATGCTTGGGATTCTTCCGCCCCAAATGCAGGACTCTGCACTTGTTCTTGTTGAACCTCATCAGATTTCTTTTGGCCCAATCCTCTAATCTGTCCAGGTCACTCTGGACCCTGTCCCTGCCCTCCAGCGTATCTACCTCTGCCCCTAGCTTAGTGTCATCCGCAAACTTGCTGAAGGTGCAATCCATCCACTTATCCAGGTCATTAATAAAGATGTTGAACAAAACCGGTCCTAGAACCGAACCTTGGGGCACTCCGCTAGAAACCAACCGCCATCCTGACATCGAGCCGTTGATCACTACCCACGGGGCCCGGCCTTCTAGCCAGCTTTCTATCCATCTTACCGTCCATTTATCCAATCCACAATCCCTTAACTTGCTGGCAAGAATATTGTGGGAGACCGTATCAAAAGCCTTGCTAAAGTCAAGGTATATCACATCCACTGACTTCCCCATGTCCACAGAGCCAGTTACCTCATCACAGAAGCTAGATTACCTCCCTCATCCAATAAGGGCCCCACCCCCTCTCTGATCACCCTCTAATTGCTAACATGCCTGTAGAAACCTTTCTTGTTATCCTTCATATCCCTTGCCAGCTGCAGTTCCAATTGCACCTTTGCCTTGCTGATCACTCCCCTGCATTCTTGAGCAGTATATTTATACTCCTCCCTAGTCATCTGTCCAAGATTCTTGTAATGCTATAGACTACACACATTTACTCCCTCCCCTTGCCAATACATTTTTAGCAGGCTGGCCAGCAGCCTGGCTCAGTTCTGGCTCGCCCTGAGTCCGGGACCTACCCTGACTGTGGCTCTGCATTTAAAGTGTATTAGGAGCCAAGTGGACAGTCAGCCCGGATCAGTTCCAGCTGGGGCTGGTTCCAGGAGCTCAGGCCTCTGCCTCCCCCGACAGGGTCTGCTGCCACCTTGTGCTGCTGTCTCTGTGCCAGAGGCAGCCACGTGGGAGACAGGCAGCTGGTCCGCGAGGGGGGCTGGTTTTTAAACTTCTCTCTGGCTAGAACCCCCTGAGCCCCAGACAGGGTCACTGCATTGTGCCCCATCCTGACCCCGTCAGAAGCTGCAGTATGTGGGATGCTGTAGAATGCTGAAGCATCTGTTTAGCAGGCCAGCGCTACGTCTGGCGACTACAGCTAGTGCAGAGCGCGGCTCTCTGGTTCATCTGCCCACCGGGTGGGGGGCACGTTACACTAACTGTGTCGCTTCACATTCATTGCTGGGTGCATTGCACAGTGTAGGGTTTTACTTTCAATTGGGTCCTTCTTAAAGCTGGGCAAACTGACCTTTTGGGTCACTAAACAGCCCTGAACTAGACTGCATACAAATCAAAACATCAAAACACAATTTGACTATTACGTATGTTTATCATAATACAGTCAGATGGAGGTTTCCCACATAGATAATATTATGAGCAGAACATTAGGTCCCCAGGGAACTGGGTTTTTTGTCTCCATACCAAAAATAAATGCTGAATTTGAGCAATGCTTCTACCTTACCGGAAACAATCCTACGGTTTGCCATTAATGGCTCAGATTAAACCAATGAAGATCAAATGACACAGAAGGGCCTTGAGCAGGCCTTTGGAAAGGGCAAGTGAACACATGCCTCTGAACTGCTGGGCTTTCCTGAAGGTAACATGCCACAGAAATTAGTGAGCAAGATTGAATTAGACTTGTCCTCCTGCAGCGAGACTGACAGACGTAAAAGTTTAGGTGGCTGCTGCGTAGGGTGTGACTAGCTAACCCTTTCAGAGAACCATAGAGCTGGAGAGACCTCAGGAGTCATCAAGTCCAGCCCCTGCCCAGGGCAGGACCAATCCCACCTTTCCTTACAGTGGTGTGTATTCATCCTACGGACTGATTCAAACACCCGCTGAAGTCAATGTAAAGCCTGTCGGTACTTCCTTGTCTAGTCGTCCCAGTAGATACAACAGGAGCAAGGATGGGGGATTTGGCTTGCAGAGGCCAACATTGCTCCTCCGTTTGCAAGGTGGAGCTCTGGGGTGGACTCCATACAGCAATCAGAGAGTGGCTGATGTAGCCTGCCTCTGTCTCCTATCTTATAGTTTTATTCCAGCATCCCGTAACTGGGCCATACGTTCTCCAGGCTGTAATAGGAATAACAGCACAGGGGCTATTTGTGTGACTAAGCCCAGAATGAGGGTTACACAATTTGCCAGAGTTATTTAATCCTGAAACCCTTTCTAGGAACACCCAACCCTTTGCTCTACTTTATAAGATAAATGTTGGGTCTGAAGCATTGGTGACAGCATCCCTTTTGTTACATGCAAACTGTCATTTTCAGAAGCTGTTGGGGGATATTTTCAAAGGGACGTAAGGCAGCCAATTCATTGAAAATCAATGGGAATTAGGCAAGTTCATGCAAGCTAGTGGTGAAAACACTGGACATGGATGCAGGAGCCCTGGATGCGATTCCTGGCTCTGCCCCTGATCTGCTGAGTGACCATGCGTAAGTCACTTTGCCTCCTTGTTCTTCAGTTTTCCCATCTATAAAATGGGTCTAATGATACCTCCCTCTTTAGTAATGTGCTGAGAGATCTAGTGAGGACAGTGCTTAATCAGTGCTCAGTGTTATTTGTGCCTCTGAAAATCTCCTGCCCTTATTTTGTCTTTCCACTCACTGTGGTGGTGACGGTGAAGAGAAATGAAAAGAGGCTCTGAGTGGTGCACATTTCAGAGAGCAGTGCTGCCCGGCTCTCCATTTGGGAAGCTCTCTGATGCGCCATCCTGTTGCTAAAAGTCTATGTTCTTGAAGTCCACTGAACACCGGAATCGGCCATCGAGGAATCTGGCACATATGAAGTTTGGCAGACACGGGCAGGTGTGATGTTGGCGTTTTCCGAGGAAAGGGACCTTCAGCAGAAAATGAAAGAGACAAAAGACACCGCAAAAATGTCAGAGCTTCAGCCACAGAGACGCCAGGACAATTCTTGGGTGGGTAAAAGAGATTCCTTCCCACAGGGGTCCATGACCCCGACAATGGACCAGACCCTGAAGTTCTTTACTCTGGCTGCAATCTAGCAAAGCATGCATCGCTCCGACCGTGTGCGTGATCCCCGGGCTCCCATGGCACAGCCCAGAGGTCGGACTGCCAGCGCTAGGTGTTCACGGCTCAGGAGTCGAGCCTCCTGCAAATCAGGAGTTGGACTCATTTGAGTAGCCTCCTAGTTTCTGAGCTTTCGGGGGCCTGTGGGCCCTGTTTAATCGGCTTCCCGCTACAGCCCCGCAGGCTGGCAACTGACGCTTTCAAGGCCTAATCCTGCAGCTCTGATGGGCAACGGGGGGCCCTTGCTCATAATGGGAGGAGTAAAGGGCTGCAGGATTGGGCCCCTAATCCTCATTCAGCTCATTTGAACGGCAGCCCAGTCTGAGGCCCAAAACTCCTGGCAGCAATGAGTGCTGTTAGCCTGGCTACCCCGCAGCCTCCACTGGCCCGGGGAATAACTCTCGTCCCTTAACTCAGGCACTGCCCGCCCAATGCCCTGCTCGCGCTGTCTGCCTCTGGGCTGGCTTCTCCCCTCCCGTGTATCGGTGCCAGGTTCTAACGCTGGCGGACAGGCAGCTTGTGGCTGCTGCTGGCTCACCCTGCTCTGCAGGGAGCCCTGGGACCGAGGACTCAGCGTTTCCACACTGGAGATTACCTATCTCCTAGAACTGGAAGGGACCTTGATAGGTCATCAAGTCCAGTCCCCTGCCTTCTCAGCAGGACCAAGTACCATCCCTGATGAATTTTTGCCCCAAATCCCTAAACAGCCTCCACAAGGATTGAACTGACAACCCTGGGTTTAGCAGGCCAATGCTCAAACCACTGAGCTATCCCAGGGCTTGGAAGGGAATCCTGCAACTGGTCACTGTACAGAGTCAGTCCAGTGAGCTGGAATCAGCTGAGCCTCTCTGCTTTAGAGCAGCCAGTTTTCTCTCTGTGTGTTCTTGGGCTCTTCCGTGTTTATCCATCTGAACTCTGATGTGTTACACTGCAAGCGTCCAGCAAGAGAATTCATGTTCCCTGGCCATGCAGATACTCTACAGCAGTGGTCCCCGACGCGGTGCCCGTGGATGCCATGGCACCCGCCGGGGCATTTATGTGCGCCCGCCTAGGCAGGGTCGCGAGGAGGGATGGCCGGGCCGCATGTTCTGCGGGGCCGAACTCGCACTGTGATGGGGTGTGGGGACGCGCCGGTGGTGGGAGAACCTGCCAGGGAGCATGGCGGGGAAGCCGCGGGAGCAGGGTGGCTGGTCCGCAGCAGTGAAATGGACGTGGTGGGGGGTCTGGAACCAGCGCAGGCGCACTTGGCATGGGGCTGGCCAGCCAGGCGATGCAGCAGGATGACATCACCCACCACACAAGACGGTTGGGGACCACTGCTGTACAAGATCCGGTGAGCAGGGTTATTACAGCACCATATGCCATTGTTAAAAAATACAAGCTCTCAACTCATCCTGCCCAAAGAAAAGTTGATCTGGAAAATCTAGTTGCAGCAATGCTGGAACGGTGACGTGAATGTGTGGCCGGATGGATAAGGCCTCTGCCTTTAGCTCAGAAGATTGAGGGTTTAAGACCTTCCATGGCTGGTTAGTTTCAGAGCCCTAGCTGGGATGGGTCCTGCCTTGGGCAGGGGGCTGGACTAGGGTTCTATGGCTCCGTGATGCTAAGATCAGCCTGGGCCATTGCTCAGACTAGGCTGAGAAAGGGTTAAAGCGGTGGGCCCTACCTTGTGACTGAATGGGTGGCATTGGTCCCCTTCCTGTCCCAGCGGAGTGCACATCCTGAGCCCGCGAAGCCACAGGCTGACAGCGCAGCACGTCCCGGCTCCGCACTGCAGATCTCTCTCACACGCCTAGTGGGGAGGAAAAGCCCAGACAGAGGTGAGTGTGGGCAGGGCAGTGGCAGGGGAAATCCCTGCTCCTGGACACTGGTAACGGAGCTGGGCTGGCCAGCGCCGCGCTGACAGGCACCGATTCCTAAGGCAACAGGAGCCACGTGTCTCAGGGCAGGTCCAGGAGGGTTTGTAATGAGAGCGACAGTCAGATTCTGGCTCAAGGGGCTTTCCCCAGGCCAGCAGGCCGGACAGGGCTTCGTGTGCCTGAGGCTGACGATTGGGATGCTCAGGGGAGCTGGCCGTGCTGAGCTCAAGGCAGCCCAGCACTGAACCAACGGCTACATAACCGTCAGTTACTAGCAGCCTTAGCCGCCCCCGCCCCAGCCCTTCCGAGAGCACG